CAGCTAAGTAAAAAATCCCCTTGGGGGGGCCTATCGCTTTACAGGGTTTTTGCACACTGCTGTCGTGCATTTCGGGGGTATCGCTTTTGGGCGGGCCCTATCGCTTTACTAGGGTTTTGCTCATGTCCCTGAATTTTACTCTGCCTGCTCTTGGCTCCTACACGATAATAAAAGCGGTCGCTCATAATATAGGAAAGTTACATCAGGTTATGTATGATTACGTAGAGGCATACAGGCTTACATCGGTTTATGCATGATTGTATAGGGTTAAAGAAGGTTATATGTGGTTCTACAGGGTTATACAGGGCTATATATGGGTATGATTACATAGGGTTGGAAAGGGTTATAGGGTTGCCATGTCTGTAGGGTTTATGGATCAGGGTTTGCAACAACCGGGGTCCCTCACCAGCAAGTTTCAGGAGCACTGTAGCTCCTTCATAAGGCCTTCTCCAGGCTGGCCAGCGCAAGGGATAGTGCTTGATCCTCCTTCGGCGCATGAAGGCACCTCAATTTTTGCTAAGGTCTACAACAAACCATTTGTCGCCTTCACCTCTGATGACGGGACACTTGTTTTGAGCCTTGGCTCTGTCATGGTTGCGGACTCTGGGTTTCCTGCGGTTGCTGCGACTCAGCACATTCCTCCTTCACCCGAGACCTTAGGTGAAGTACAGGGGCCCCCAATGATCTGCCCAGCTCTAGCTACCCCGGCATGACAGTCTTAGCAGCTGCTACATGAAAACCAAACCACAACAAACCAGGCTACAGCCGAACATCGAGGTCCAAACTGAGATCGGCTATAAGGCACGACAGCTCCGTTGCAGTAGCCTTCCGCACACATACGCTAGCTTCCACGACTGGTTGTAGAAGCATGAGTCGAGCGTGGCCTAGAATCTTGTGCTTTGAGATGGCCAGCTGCACAAGGTGGCATACCTCCCCGACGAAACACGCAATGTTCTATCATCAGTGACTTGCAAGCCGCAAGTGTGTTAGAGATGCTTTGACGGCAGCTAGTAAAAGCTCTGGTTTTTCCTGCATGCAGCGCCTTGGAACTCCTGACATCATGCGCGGAGCCAATAATGCACACCTCCATAAGGCCTCAAAATCTGTCAAATGGTCCTCTGCTATTCACGGCTCTCGTATGCTTTCCGAAGTACCAAAATCGCGCCCCTTCCTTCAGTGTATCACATAACATGTGCATCCCTCTTGCCCATCTCTCTCTGTGTTCCCTTGTCGCAATTCCTGCCATCATGATTGGCAGCACACTTAGGCTCAAGGCAACTTTGCATCTTCGGGGATGATGCCGTGCTTCCAACCAGAAAAACACGCGGCAGGCCGCGCAATTCTAGCGCTGCATTGCTGCAAATCATTTTCAGGGGTAGCAGTTTTCACAAATAGGGTGCCAATATAGATCCCAAAAATAATAGCATACTGATTTACGGAAACCCCACATGGGCTTGTCATCTGTTCCAACAGCACGCACCTCGCCCAAGGAAAAGCCACCAAGAAATGGCAGGTTCCTGCAAAGCAATACAACTTCCTGGTGTCCAAGGGTGACTGGGGTGTGTGGATCCCTATGATATTCCCCATTTTTCTATTATAGGGAGTTGTTTGATGCACGTACAGCGACAGGGCTTCGTGGAAACCACACATGCAACCGTCCGCGAATCCTACATCTTGGCCACGTCAATGTGCTCCAAGACAAACTACACTGCTGCTACATGTCGTCAATCTGAGTCTTGAACCATCATACAGAACTACGAGGTGCTCGAGGCCATTTTTCTACCGCGTTGTTTGGGGACGGAAAGTTGTCTCTTTTCAAGAGCTCGAAAGCTTCCGAATGTCGCTTTGGGCACGGATGCTCTGGTGACCGCATGCTCTTGGGACACGAACGTCATTGCGGTTTGAGCATGGATGCTCTGGTGANNACCGTAAGCTCTTGGAACACGAGCGTTGTTCTGGTTTGGGCGCCTTAAGGCCCACCCCTGACCGTCTTTGTTCGGTCATAGCACGTCGAACTTTGGTTGGTGTGGAAACTACTGTAAGAGACCTAACATCATCATAACGTACACATAGCCGGGAGTAAACAACATCGACAAGAACAAAAACAATGACAACAACAAACAGCCGATACCACCCATGCCAGAGATCACTGATTCTCCATCTTCCAACTGTTTTGGTGGAGATCGAATAACATTAGGGTTCAGGGTTTGGGGTTTAGGGTAACATCCAACCTTAACAGAATATACTGGTAGCCAAGGAGAAACAGTCAGCTGTTCCAGCTCTCCCAAAAGAGTGAACAACCAGAAGGCGGAAATCTTGACAGGATCAGAAACCATTGGGGTAATATTGTGGGGGTATATTGGGGTAAT